TTCCGGTTTGGGTTAGCTTTTGGTAGAGGCGGCAATATTGAATGCTGTCAATGTATACATGTTTATTGTCTATGAGGAATTAATAGTTAATGTATATAGTATGTACACGGAAATATAGTGTGAGTAGATTTGGGGCTTTTTTTGGAGGGGAGTGGCGGTCATGTTGATCACTGCTAATGTATAAACTCTCCACATGGAAATACTGTATAAATAGGTTTGGGATAGTATTTGGTGAGGGCGGCGATATTGAATAGTGTTAATGAATATGACGTCTAAAGCGGATATAGTAATAGCAATAATTAATGTCATATTTTTTGTTCCTCGAACAGAAAGTTAAACCAAGTTTAGCAATTTCTAATATACTTAATTCTAAATTTTGCGCCGCCTCCGAAAAAGGTGCATTGCATTTAATATGATGTATTTAATAATTTAACCAAATTCATCAAACGATGGTGAATAACAATGCAGTTTAAGTTGAAATAATTTCACACTTTTCACTGCATTTTCCCATAATTTTAAGCAATTATATCTAGAGCTAGTGCGTATTCATATACATTAACTAGAAATTATTTCATGCTTTTCATTGCATTTTCCCATACTTTTAAGCAATTATATCTAGAGCTAGTGCGTAGTCATATAAATTAACTAGAAATTATTTCATACTTCTCACTGTAGCTTTTTTGAAGTCGGTTAAATTTTTTTTCCAAAAAATTATTTTATATCTAATGCTTTGATTGCCGCTTGGCTGTCAGTGCATATTGTGATTCTTTTGCTGTTTATATTGAGGTTGAGCATTTCTTGCGTACATTCGGATATGGCTATGACTTCAGCTTGGTATACTGTTGCATATTTCCCTAGCTGTTTAAAGCCTTCGTTTGATAAGCCTTTTCCGCAGTACCAGTCTGCGCCGAAAAGGTTCTCTTTTCTAGATCCGTCTGTGTACCATACTATGTCGTTATCTTGGTGTAGCGTGGTGGTGTTCCATGCTTCTCTGGAATCTATTTTGGTTTCATATCTTTTTTCGAATATGTACTCGGTGATTAATCTGTCTTTTGACATTAGGTACATTTCTTTTAATGTTTCGTTGCCGTTTTGTTGGATTATCTGGCTGTGGCCTTTACTGGTATCTCCCAGTGGTCCCAACCGTGTAATCTCATGGCTGTCTTCATTGCCAGTTCTTTAATCTTGGTATCTAGGGGGAGGAGGGTTAATGCCTCTAATTCCCTTGTTGGTGTGGTTTTGAACGTGTCAAAGGTGCGTCTTAGGGCTGTGCCCTGTATGCTATCTAGTTTTGTAGTCGCCGTTATCGTGTTGGATGTTTGTCACCATACGATATTCCCGAATGTGATTCTAGGTACTATGATCGCCTCATAGATCCATTTAGTTGTCGGGGGAGTCATGCCCCATGTCGGGCCTAATATTCTGCATAGTAGATTAAGGTTCTTTTTTGCTGCTGCTACTTTTGAGAAGACATGTTCTCTCCATGTCAGTTTCTCATTTATTATCACTCCCAGATATTTCACTTTTCTTGTAGTTTTTAGTTTCTTGTTGGCGAATTCTAGTGTGGCCAAGTTGGGTGTCTTAATTTTTCTGGTGACCATCATGGTCTCCATTTTGTCAGGATTGACTGATAGTCCTAACCATCGGAAATACTTGTACCTTGGTATAGAATCGCTGCCTTAAGTTTATAATAGTGATATCCTATTTGTATTTTAGTAGTAGGTATTGCTTTGATGCAGGCATTTTCCACTTTCGTTATTCCACTATTATTATGACCGAACAAAAGTAAATTTGCAATAAGAATTTGTTTGGAAACAGTTATACTGACTTTCCTCATTATATGTTTGAATTTGAACTATCACAATTGCTGCAAGTACTTTTCAGCTTGATCCATCCTGTGAAATTGTGTTTTATTATATCTTTAAATTCAAATGATTTTGTCAACATCTTGGGCAGTGCAAGGTGTACCACACAATTCCTATAAGCTCTACCTAAATAGTCAAAACTATTATTTTTTTAATTGAATAGAGAAAAAGAAAGGGAGGTGGGGTAACAAAAGCGAATATATATGTATATTTCATATGATACCATTTATTAATAATAAACATTTAATCGTTCAATTTATGAATTAATATAAATACCAGCAAATCATTTTTTTTTTTTGTTGAAAGAAATTTAAATGATAGTGATGAAGTGAGAAAATGAACGAAGAGATCCACTATTATTTGTGCACTAAATTGAAATGCGAAAGGATATGATTCTTCATCTACAACTTTCTCCAGACAACCTCCAAGCCTGTGACTCCCGTCCGTTTCCACAAGCTCTGCATAAAAAGTCTAAATTAAAATCACTTTGTTGATATGGATCTACAGTGAGTAACTTTAATATTCGGACACTATGAGATCTTTACTTCGTTACATCATAACATCGTTTCTAGTAAAACAAAGAAAAAACATAATCAAGTATTATATTAACGTATATGTGTAGTAAACAATAGTATAAGTTTTACTTACATTACTTACAATAGTTTTTAAATAACACGATTTAAATAAAACATTGTCTGATTTTCGCGTTACTTTAATATTCGGATATTTGGTAGTGTAGCACCTTTTCTGAGTGTTTACCCAAAGTTACTTCGAGTTAGAAGGACTATTTGTTTACAAACACAGTCGACTGTTCGGATGATACTAACAAGCCTTATTTCATCAGTTATTCTTCGATAATCGTTACGTTCACGTGTATAACGCCACGTAAAAGCAATACCACGTATAATATATGACAACTTGTGATTTTTCACAATCCAAAGGGGAAATCATGTAGACAAATTGCTGGCATACTCAACATGAGAAAGAGTACAGTGGCAGATATCAAACGGTTCAAATACGAGGATCGTATAGACTTTATACCTTGAAAGGGCCAACCAAAGAAGTTGGATGGACGTGATAAGAGGAAACTAATAAGAATAATGAAGAAGGATCCTTCACTCAGTGCACCGAAATTAGCAACAGAGCTCTTAAATGAGACTAGGAAGAAGATACATCCCCAAACAATCCGCAGAGTCTTAAAAGATAGTGGTTACAATGGAAGAGTAGCTAGGAAGAAACCATATGTGAATGAACAGAATCGAAAGAAGAGATTAAATTTTGCTAAAGAATTTGTTTTGAAGGAAGAAACACGGTGGAACGATGTCACTTTTTCCCGCGAAAGTAAATTTAACATTTTTTTATCAGATGGATAAAAAATGGTGTGGCGTAAGAAAAATGAAGAATTTAAATTTAAAAATTTAAGGCTGTCTGTAAAGCATGGAGGAGGCAGTGTGCTTGTCTGGGGCTGTATATCCATATTTGTGCTGGGCAAATTAGTTCTAATTGACAATATTATGGACAAAAATGTGTATTTGAATATATTAAAAAATAATTTACGCAAAAGTGCTACACAAATGAGAATTTTAAACACATTTAAGTTTTACCAGAACAATGACCCGAAACATAAAGCATGCATCGTGCAAGAATATTTACTGTACAATTGTCCAAAAGTTTTATAACCACTGCCTCAATCAGCTGACCTCAATCCTATCGAAAATGTGTGGAATGAACTAGAGCGACGTATCAGGACAACAACAATATCTTCAAAAGAAATATTGAAACATTGGTTAAAAGAAGAATGGCATAGAATAACTATTGAATATTTAAAAAAAATCATTAGGAATATGCCACAACGTTTAAAAGAAGTGATACAACAGAATGACTACCCAACAATATATTAAAACACATTATTATAAAAAATTAGCCTCAAAATAAATAGTTTCTAAAAGTGTCCAAATATTAAAGTAACGCGAAAATCAGACAATGTTTTATTTAAATCGTGTTGTTTAACAACTATTGTAAGTTATATAAGTAAAACTTATACTATTGTTTACTACACATATACGTTAATATAATACTTGATTATGTTTTTTCTTTGTTTTATTAGATACGATGTTATGAAGTAAAAATCTCATAGTGTCCGAATATTAAAGCTAGTCACTGTATATTAAAAACAGTTTTCTGTATGAATAAAGGTATCTGACAATTCAGATTTTGACAACTTACCTTGTAATCAAGATTGATCAACACTTTACAACACTAGCTACAATTTGTTATTAAACCCTACATAACAAGTCTAAATTGAAAACGTTTTGCTGATATAAATATAATTAATAATGCAATAGTGTAAAAACTTTTAACACTTGGCAGGTTATGAACCAGTGATGGACATTCGTGGGATTTTTCCTGATCATGCGCATTGGAGCGAGCGTTGTAGTCCTCACTGCTGTATACACTTACTTAGAATTTAGGGTACCATTGGATCCCAGTAAGGAACAAAATACAGGGTGTCCCAAAAATGTTGTAACACCTTAAAAGAAGTGATTCGGGAGGTGATTTGAAACAACTTTTTCCTTAGTAAAAATGTTGTCCGAGGCTTCGTTGAAGAGGTATTAACGGAAAACACTGACCAATCAACGGGCGCTCCATTGGCGTACTCGCGCTCTGATTGGTCAGTGTTTCCCGTTATCTTCTCAACGAAGTCTCGGACAACATTTTCGCTAAGCAAAAAGTTGTTTCAAATTACCTCCTGAACCACCTTTTTCAAGATGTTACAACATTTTGGGACACCCTGTATAATGTCCTCTTCTTTTCCTCGATGATTCCTGACGTGGACGGCTGTGGTTTATTATCCATTTTCTTTTTAATTTTCCCTAATATTACACTCACGAACACTAACACTCTTGTACTTAATTTGTCCGTTAAAAACGCGGGGAAAATTGCACAGGCCCCTTAAATGCACCTCAGTTCGGATACATGTATGGTAGCAGACGACATGCAGCTGTGACGTCGTCTACGCAAGCGCAGAAAGGAATTCTTCGAAGGAAAAATCCCACGAATGTCCATCACTGTTATGAATGATGACATCTGTTTCGACTATCGACTCTCGATGGCCGACAACCGACGAACTACGCCGAACTGAATGATTCCGAGAGTGTAACCTAAAAACAACTCAAACTAACCTTACCTGATACAAAATAGTGAAGTTTGACAACTTTAAATTGTCACACATGGTCAAAACATAATTAAAGAATGCAAGTGCGTTCTATTTGATTTGTATAATATTTATTTAATAATAGACGAGAAAAATGAGATACGCACAACTTGTAATGGGACCAGCTGGCAGTGGGAAGGTATATTCTTTTTATCTGAACATATAATTACAGAGTGTATACAAGTTAAACCTAAGTTAGAACTTTAGACTAAAATCAAACCGAGAAGTTAAAAATGAATTGTTGATTATAATTTAACAATAATAAGTAAATAAAGTGTTGCTAAAAAAGATTATTCGTTTTATAAATTAATATGCTGTTAATTTTTATAATAGTCTACATATTGTTCTGCTATGCAACAACATGCAGCCAATGAGGGAAAAATTATAGAAGTAGTGAATTTAGATCCTGCAGCAGAGTATTTTGATTACGAACCTCTAGTCGATATAAGGGAATTAATTCAGTTAGATGATGCTATGGAAGATGCTGAATTGCAATTTGGGCCCAATGGCGGACTTGTGTTTTGCATGGAGTAAGTTTATCAATTAATTTTGATATATTTCTAGAACAATATATAGATTATCCTGGAGCTTGTATTCTTTCCCATAATTTTGTTCGTAGGTACTTATTAGAGAATTCTACATGGTTGGAGGAAAAATTAGGCGACGTGGATGATGATTACATTATTTTTGATTGTCCAGGTCAAATAGAATTATATACACACATGACAGTCATTCGTCAGTTAACAGCAATGTTGCAAAATCTCAATTTCCGTATATGTGGAATTTTTTTAGTAGACAGTCAATTTATGATCGATGGATCAAAATTTTTATCGGGCACAATGGCTGCACTTAGCGTAATGATTAATTTAGAATTACCACATATTAATATTCTTAGTAAAATGGATCTATTGTCAAAAAGTGCAAGAAAGCAATTAGATAAGTATTTAGAACCTGACCCACACAGTCTATTGGCAGATATGGAAAAAGATTCTTGGAATGAAAAATATAGAAATCTTACAGAGGCTATAGGAAGACTTATAGAAGATTATAGTCTAGTACGTTTTTACCCATTACATATAAAAGATGAAGAGAGCATTGCAGATATTAAATTAACGATCGACAACATTATTCAATATGGGGAAGATACTGATGTTAAAATCAGAGATTTTGATGAGCCTGATGAAGATGATGATAGAGATGGATTATAATGTTAAAGTGTAAAATTATTTCATTTAATAAAATATTTTTATAAAGTATTCTTTAGCAATTCATTTCTTACTCTGGATAGGGTGGAAAATAAAATTAAATTAAAAAATTAGTTTCATTAATTTAATTATTGTTAGCTTATGAAAATATCTGTACATGAAAATGAAGGAATATTTACAATGCAATGTTTCACCGCTCCAAATGTGCATTTATCGTATTGAATACAAATAATAGACATCCAAAAGCCAATGTTGACCCGTGAGCAATAATAGCACTCCCTTCCCAGCCCTCTTCTAAGTGATCTGTATTTCTTGTTTCGTATTTTGTTAAGTTACATTTACATAATACTCTCTTTCTTTCTGTTTGTTCTTGAGAAAGCAAAACTTTTTCTTTAATAATAGCTTTTACGGCTTCCGTCGTCTCTTGTTCTTTACTTATCAATTGTATTTTCTCATCAGTTTCTTCTTTTACTTGTTCTCTTACTACTTCGGTATAGTTACAAGAATAAAGCACATTATCAACCACTGTTCCATATTCGCTGTAGTTTAATAGTTCATAACGTTTTGTACTCTGCAAATAAAATAATACACATAATCAACATGATATTATATTCTCGAACATATGCCAAGAACGTATAATGCGATAGTATAAAATACGACTGAATTAATAGTATTTACACATCATTACCTCATCAAAGAAAATGATAGCATGCTTTGAAGATGTAAAGCTGCAGTTACCATAATTGGACAAAACTAAATCGCAGTTTGGGCCACTTCCAATAGTTAGTGTTTTATGAAACATAAAAGCTGGTGGTTTAGGTTTGTGGTTCAAAGAAAATAATGCAGCTCTAGCCATCATGTGACAATTAATTGTGTGATAATTTTCTCCATCTGAATCTAATATTTGTTCTAACCGTTGCAATGCTAATGCTTCCAATACTGGTCTTTCAAGTAACTGTACACCTTCTTTTACATCGTAACCAAAACGTTCTGCATAGTATTCAGCGGTATTATCGTCTATACACCTATTTTCATTTACATTTTCTTGTGTTACTTTCTCTTTACATTTAGTTTCATTACTTGTCTCTTCTCGATTATTTTCTTCTTTTATTTCATTGCTCTTCTCAACTTCTTTTTCTACTTCCATCAATTCTTCTGTTTTCTTTATATCTGTGCATTCTACTTTAGGCGGTTTACTATCATTACTTTCCACAACTTGTTCTATAGTGTTCTTGACTACTGGTCGTATCACAGCATCATGATAGAATTGTACAGGATCTAATTCTGGTGGATGTTCATAATGAAATTTAACAGAACAAGGAACCTTTACCCTTGTTCGACCTTCCAATTTGACCTTTGTCCGGAAGAGTGGGTTCGTTGCACGTGCTTTACGCAAAAAAGCTAACTTTACTGCGTGTTGATCTATACGTTGATTGGCATACTTGTCCCAGAGTTTTATACGTTCTGTTACCCTACACGATGTTAACAGATTCTGATCTATGAAATGATTTGGATGATTAGGACACATCCATCTACCAATAGGAAAAGCAGTTAGTGGAGGATCTAAGCAGTCTTGATGAAAATACAATGGACAGTAATCGCATGCAATTAATGGTGCTTTTCTGCAACTACGTCCACATTCAAAACACAAACGTGCTGGCAAAGGTACCATTAAGTTGCTGTCCAAACAATGACTTTTCCCTACTAATATAAAATAAGAGGATTATTATAGTTGAAATTAGCAAATATAATAAATTTTTATAATAAATAACAAATATATATTACGCACCATTATTATTTCCACATTGTTTGTTTCCTCTTCTACCAGAAACATAGTCTACTTTATTACTACCAGGAAACATTATTGGTAATTGTAACTCTTTAGGTAATTCAAACTCTCTGGGATTAACTAGGGATGCTGCTAATGCTAGTACCTCAAGAGCAGATTTCTTCTTGTTTTTTTCATTTCCTTTGCTATCCAGAAGATTTCTTTTTGATGCACAACGACAAGCATGACATAACCATTCTCCATTAGGTATATCTGCTGGATCCACTGCTGGATAACTAAATAATTACATTTCAGGATTATATTTAATGTGCTTTTGTCTTTACAAAGGTTCAATAAAAATCTAATATAAGCAGATATTAATGTATACTTTCTAAACACAGAAATAAAAGATCTACTATATTATTTTTCAGTATAAAATGTTTTATTATTACAATATTAAATAAATTAGATATTGTTCAATAACACAACATCAAACAAAATTTATCTGTAGTACCACGTAAAGTTGTATAGTAATTTTTTTGTATATGGTATTCCAAAACTATAAAACAAGCTGAAACATGTAGATTTCTCATATTAAAAGAAATTACGATATCTTTTGCAATCTTTCTATTGCAGGCTTCATTTTCAAAATGAATTTCATTTTCATAGTTCGACTTTCGATGTGCACTTTATAATGTTAAGTAGTCTATTAATTGTAAGCACATACACATTTCTTTTCACGTGAAATTATATAAAATAAAAATTGTTCTATGGTGGTTGAATAAAACAGTGCTTTACCTGATTTTGTAACAAATGTGTTAAAATAATAAAAGTCTGAAAAGTTTCTATTATTTTAGTGCATCAAGAATTGTTAATATCAGTGACAACATGATTTACAAAATATAAAAATATGAGATGTATTACAATTAATTTGTGACGATACAACATATATAAATATTTATCTTTTTGAATTTTGCTCATTTGCTAGAACATGTATGTGCTTGTTCTCATTCTGTTACTTAAGATGTAAACAGCTTGAATTGAAAACCAAATCCTAAAACTTCAATTTCTTATATTTCAAAAATTAAATCTTAGATCCAGATTGATGACGAATTTTTTATTTCTTTGGTATATGGAATATATATACCATTCAGATTTGTTCTTACAATTTTGGAATAAACGTGTAGACAACTGTTTGTATGAAAAAGATTAAACATGGATGATGTTTAACTTCCTTTTCTAAAGAAACTTGAACTCACTGGCATTGCAAATGATATGACGCAGGACATTTGTCACAGCATATAAGTTCTCCCCCATCTCTACAGGCATCGCAAATATCACGATTATGACCTCGTCCTCGTCTTTTAAAGTATGGATGCTTCTTCTCTTCCTTGTCCTTTTTACTTTTGGCTGTTTTTGAATCTTCTGATACAGGTGGTGCTATTAGAGCTTGAATTTGCTGAAAATATGAAAATCACTTGAAAAAGTGGAAATTCTTATAATTAAAATTTGATGTACACGATATAATCTTATTTAGGTAAATTATTCGTATTTCTGTTTTACTCACTGGCATCAATCCTCCGATCATCGGAAAACCATATTCTACAGTACCCATTTTGACACAAGCTTTTAATTTTTGAAACCCTAAAATTACTTTCTCAATCAATTTTTTTCTAATTATCATACAACATTTATTTGTTAAGCAATAACAGACCTACCCCCACTTTCTATTTTTCATATCCAAATTGGTTATGTTTAAAACTTAGAAAAAGAAGATACTAGATATATAGCCTCTATCTGTATGGAACACTACAGATCACACTGTGCCCTGTCAAGGCACGCCTTAAACAATTTTCTAATGATCACTTGATTAATTACTTATTTTACAAGTTTAAATTGATATAAATAAAATAAAGTAAATAAAATAAATAAAATATCAATTATAAAAAAATTAAATTTCGTGAAATGTTGGAATAAGTTACATGACATTTGATTGTTATTTTTATTATATGTAAGAGGAATACCGTTCTACAGGAAAAGAAATGTACTCAGATGTTTAATATTTTCTATTAGATGCATTTAATAATATTTATTTGATACTGTTGCCAGGGCCGGTTTTAGCAATATTGGCGCCCCAGGCAAGATTATCGTGGCGCCCCGTCAGGGGTATATACAGGGTGTCCCCAAAATATTGTAACACCTTGGACGAGATGGTTCGGAAGGTGATTTGAAACAACTTTTTTCTTAGCAAAAATGTTGTCCGAGGCTTCGTTGAGGAGATATTAACGGAAAACTCCGACCAATCAGAACGCGAGTATAGCGGCGGAGAGCGGTTGCCTAGCGCGTAGCCCACGCCCACCGCGGGGGGTCCTCCGACATACTCGCGTTCTGATTGGTCGGGGTTTTCCGTTAATATTTCCTCAACGAAGCCTCGGACAACATTTTGGCTATGGAAATAGTCGTTTCAAATCACCTCCCGAACCACCCCTCTCAAGGTGTTACGACATTTTTGGGACACCCTGTATATCGGTATATTCGTATACTAGAGACACCGGACTGGGACGCCACCAATCTGGCGCCCCGGGCGGTTGCCCGATCGCGCCCTCCCCTAACGCCGGCCCTGACTGTTGCGACAGTGATGGACAAAACGCTAGGTTTTGAATAAATCTGAAGTTTGCAGATATGTTTGTCTCGTTTCCGCTTTTGAACACTTTCCAGAGAAAGAAACGAGACAAACATATCGGCACACTTCAGATTTATTCAAAGCCTAGAGTTTTGCCCATCACTGAACAAAATAAATAAAATTAGTGTGGCGAAAAGGTCCCTAGACCGGTCCGCATTATTATAGGTTAGTTAGCTAGTAAGTTTTTGTTACTTAGTTGGTAAGCTTAGTTTCTAAGTTACCCTCTCCTCTGTCCTGTAACAGATACCGTGAACAAAGGAAGATTTTCCTATTCATTCTATAGGCACGTTCCGATTGAAAAATATGTAAAATAAAGTGCAACCATACGCGGAAAAGAACACGTGGCTCCCAGTTCATTCGATAATAGTATTAGCTCTCCCACAAATTTATAATACTTGAGACTATAATAAATTTATGTTCAGAATATAAGTGGTTTTATTTTCAAGTTTTAATGATCACACGTATTGAACAATCAGAAAGCAATTTATTAATTAGCAAAATCAAACAACAATTCAAAAAGATAAATGGAACAAAAGACGGTAAAAGAGATCCTCTTCTGAATTGATAAAAAAGTTTCCGCCAAAGTTCAGGTGATAACCCACTGCGGAGTCGATAA